TTTTTTTTTTAATTAAAAAATCTCCTTTTCTTCTTTTACTTTTCTTCCCTTTATTTATTCCTTTATCCTTTTAGTTTGCCTTACAGTAAAACAGAAATAAAATATCAGTTTTAATTAAAGTGAAACTTGCTGCACTAACTTTGTTTGCATTAAGACCCCAAGTCAATCTCACATTGTTGGCAATTTAATTCGGAGTCGCTAATTTAGCCCTCCAATTGTCCATTCAATGGATCACATTATTAATTAATAAAAAGGTTTCCAAAATTGTCCATTGAATGGATCACAATATTGATTTCTCCCATCCTTCATAAATATAAACCGTATCACAACTTTTTGATTTGAAATGACGTCTTTTCAAATATAAACATGTATTGTGAGTCTATTTTTGTAACAGAAGAATATGATTAAAAGATGTTGAAATTTAGTCACTTGAAAAAGCAATACTCAAATATAATATATATATATATATATATATATATATATATAGATAGATAGATAGATAGGTAGAGATGGAGAGAGAGAGAAGAGGGATCAAGTTACTTGAAGAGTAACTCTAAAAGTTATTCCTCATTATGCAATGTTCATCTGAAACTAAACCTAAGAGAGAAAGTATTCACTGAATCTGTAAAGAAAATGACTGAAATTTTTATTACCAAATATAATTCAACAAGAAGATGACAAAAATCATTAACATTTAACCTTGTTATGAAGCATCAAGTCTATCTTGCGTCCAACACAATGTATGGATAAGAAAAAAAATTAATAGCTGTGGCAAATTCATGCTTTTAGCTAATATTAACGACAGAGTATAAAACTTGCCTTCAGAAGTTCAAAAATGTAATATCGAATATCATAGTCTGACAATGTTGGATAGAGCACTTTAAAATCAGTGTTATTGACATATTCAAATATAAGACTTGGGGTCTTTGACTGCTGATCTCTAACAATGTCAAGCAACTTTACAATATTAGGCCCTCCACAAAGATTCTGTAATATTTTGATTTCCCTCTTGATCTGCATTCAGAACCAGAAGCATTGTCAAAGTTACATGTAAATAAACAGGATGAGTGCCAAATATTTTAGTTAAGAAGAAATAAACAACTAAAGAGCCCCTCTCCTACCGGAGCATTTTTTATCCAAGTAACCAAATGGAAGGAAATAATTGGAACTACTATGTAGCACTATGGTCACTTGCACGAAACTCACGTTCAATAATAAACACAAACTCACTTTGTCTTTCCCTTGAAGTTCTGCATGAAAGGTTTATAACCTTTGCCGTTCCTTTTCCACATCAGTTTTTTTTATCATGTTTGATACTTTTAGTCAATTTGACTTCCTATGATAGAAATGTAGTCTCAATCCCAAATAGGTGTGTAGAGAAATCAACACAAAAATTGCTAGTGATGTAGTGGATAATGGGATGACTGCTATGTAAAAAACTATGTACTATATGCAAGATTATTCCTTTGTACTGCACATGTATAAATGTTCAAACTTAAGAACTATCCAAAAGTAAAGACAAAAATTATACATGATTAATATTCAAAAGTCATACAATAAACATATGATCACAATAAAGAAAAGATAGTAGAATTAATATAAACAAGTAGTGGTGAGTGTGAAGATCACAACAAAGAATAAAATGAATAGGGACATGAACAAATAGAGATTTCAAAGTGGGTCAGAACACAAAACAATTGAAGAGGAGAGGGGACATGTTTTAAAACAAAGCCCCAAAGATAATACAAATGAGTACAGGATCCGTAAAGAAATTGGTGCGAAAACAGATATACCTTCTTCCAACTCCGGTAACTAATTTCACATGGGATGTGACTGATTTTTGTAATCCTGTCTAAACATCCTTTTAAGCATATCCTTTTTCAAGTTATTACATATCATACCTGAACCCCCGAAAAATTAAATAACCAAAGTTTCCCTCTTACCAAATACAATAATAATCATAATATATATGTGTGTGTGTGTGTGGGTGCAATATGTTAACTCTGGGAGGTGAAACGTTTCAACTGCAAAAACAACATATGCTTACCACTCTTCAATTGTATGCTTTCCCCAATAATATATCACCAACCACCTCAACCACCAACATGACTTGCCTATGATTATTATAACACATTCATTTACTAAACTAAAATTGAAAAGTAACCACAACCAACAACACACAGAAACGAAAACCAAAAGGTTCAAGGAATAAAACGACAGCGCCCAAACATAACTCACCTTCTTCTTCTTCACGGGTTTCAGAATCTTAATGACACATTTCTCACCATCAGTGCAGTGAACGCCTTCGAACACCTCACTGTATTTCCCCCTACCGACCTTCCTCACCACCTCGTAATCATCTTGCTCCCTGTAAAAGAGCCACAACAATAACAACCCTAAATTCTTTCATTTTGGAAAAGCAAGAAAGACAATTTATATTATCCAAAATAAAATAAAAGAAGACAAAAAAAAAGCTACAGGAATTTGAAGATCGAAGGAAAACAAGAAGAGGAAGGAGCATCTTTTACCCCCACTGGACGTTTAGGGACTCGTAGTCCCAATATTCCTTAGGGCGAACAACGTTGACATCCGCGTAAACCCTGGCCTTGGAGGAGGCGCCGGGGCGGCGCGTGGACTTTCCGAATTTCTGCGCCATGGCGTCGAGGGGCGGCGGCGGCGGAGAGCGAGCAAGAGGGGCGGTGGCGAAGTGGTGGAAGGCGGAAGCTGGTGGAAAAGTTATGGGGAAGTTGGGAGAGCGGATAGGAGGAGAGGGAAAGGAATGGGAAAGAGAGGAGCGGAGGAGAAGAAGCAATCTATCGCGCGAGAAGTTGTAATGGAAGGGCCTTAGGGCCATTAAATTGCAAATAAAAGTTGCAGGGAAAAAAAGGCTCTGATGCCTAAGACGCAATTTTCAAACCCTCGTCTCATTTTTTTTTTTAATTAAAAAATCTCCTTTTCTTCTTTTACTTTTCTTCCCTTTATTTATTCCTTTATCCTTTTAGTTTGCCTTACAGTAAAACAGAAATAAAATATCAGTTTTAATTAAAGTGAAACTTGCTGCACTAACTTTGTTTGCATTAAGACCCCAAGTCAATCTCACATTGTTGGCAATTTAATTCGGAGTCGCTAATTTAGCCCTCCAATTGTCCATTCAATGGATCACATTATTAATTAATAAAAAGGTTTCCAAAATTGTCCATTGAATGGATCACAATATTGATTTCTCCCATCCTTCATAAATATAAACCGTATCACAACTTTTTGATTTGAAATGACGTCTTTTCAAATATAAACATGTATTGTGAGTCTATTTTTGTAACAGAAGAATATGATTAAAAGATGTTGAAATTTAGTCACTTGAAAAAGCAATACTCAAATATAATATATATATATATATATATATATATATATATATATATATATATATTAGATGTAAAATTTTAGCAGGTGATACTGTGGTTTGTAGTACTTGTAAATTAGTTTTATTTTTAATTATTGAGAATTTTAATACACATTCTCGCATAGGTTTATTTGTAAAATTTCATCCAATAATGATTTTACCGTAGATGGAATAATAAATCTAAAAAATCATAAATTTCATCGATTCATAATTTCAATATTATGTAAAAAAGTAAATTTTAAGTTTATCTCAATTTTGTAAAATTGACTTATAAGATGAGATTTATACTTACTTTATATACTGTAAATTAGTTTTATTTATAGTCAATGTGAAACTTCCAATACTCTTAATTCCTATATAAGAAGTTACGATTAAGTTGAGATTATTATTAATTTTCAAAAAACTATATTGAGTAGATCTATCAATTTCTCCCCCTCAAATAGATTGGTCTTAACCCACAAAGACTATGGTCATAAAAACTCACAAGACCAAAAGGTCCTTTAAGCCCACAGGGTCAAAATATCCACAAAAGCCCAATGGGCCAAGGCTAGCCCATGAATCTTCTTTTTGAGAAAAAAATTATTCATTTTGAATACAAGGAAAAATACAATTAACTCCTAATTTATCGCAAATTTAAGCTTTTATTTTTCAATTAACTATATACAAACATTTTCATCATACTAACATAGACTTTGAAAGAGTTTTCAATAAATTTGGTTGTTTGCTAATATAGAAAAATTACACAAGAACATACGACCTATGGAGACGAGTCACTTGTTGTTGGGAAGACCTTGACAATATGATAGAAAGGTAACCCATGATGGTTTAACCAATAAGTATACTTTCTTTTTCAAAATAGCAAAAGGTGTCCCTAACACCTTTATCTCCTAAAAAGGTTTGTGAGGATCAAATTAAGATAAAAGTGAAAAGAGAGTAAGAGACAAATGAAGGAAGAGAGAAAATTCTAGATAAAGGCATGGAAAAGGAAAGTAAAAAAATAAAGAGTGGTAAAAGCTTTTTTCTTGAGAGAAAACAAAGTAAATAGAGTGTTGTTTAAGAGACAACATTTATATTTACTTATGCCTAACAATATTTTGTTGTGTTTTGTCCAAGTTTCTTTGTCTTTAAATATGGAGCAACTTCTCAAGGAGTGTAAGGATGTATTCCCTAAAGACATTTGTCATAACTGACAATACTAAAAGGGGTATTGAACATTACATGAACCTTATTCCTGTTGTATCCCTTTTTAATAAGCCATTCTATAAAAGCAACATGGAAGAGACTAGAGAAATACAAAAGTAAGTGGAGCAACTCATGGAGAAAAAATGGGTTAAAGAAAGCTTAAGTCCATGTCCCATGCCGGTCATCCTTGTTCCTAAGAATGATGGACCATGTAAGATGTGTGTTGACTGTTGAGCCATCAATAACATCATCATCAAGTATAGACATCTTATTCCTAAACTTAATGACTTTGTTTGATGAAATACATTATGTTTGTTATTTTTCAAAGATATATTTGAAAAGTAGTTATCACCGAATTAGGGTGAGAGAGAGAGATGAATGGAAGACTACTTTAAAAACTAAATTTGGTTTGTATGAATGAATGATTATGCCTTTTGGGTTAATTAATGTACCGAATACCTTTATGAGATTGATGAATAATGTGTTGAGGAATTTTATTACTAAGTTTATTGTTGTGTATTTTGATATGTAGCAAAACACTTGATTCACACTTTGGACACTTAAAAGAAAGTTTTAGAAGTGCTTAAGAAGGAGAAACTATATGCTAATATGAAAAAATGCATTTTTTTTACAAATGAAGTTATTTCCCGTTAGCTCTAAAAGAGTGCAAGTTGATGAAGAAAAAGTCAAGGCCATTAAGGATTTGTCCACTCCTATATGTTTTCACTTTTTAAGGAAAAAAATTAGAAATTCTTACTGCCAATTTTTTATATAGAATAATTATTTTTAAAAAATGTGATATTTTATATTTGTAAATTTTAAAAATTAATTACGTTAGCCTGTTCCGATAAAATACTAAATTAACTTGTGATAAAAATTTACGTTAATATTAATAGTTGTGTTATTATTATTATTGTTGTTATTATTATTATTATTTATTTTTATTTTTATACAGATTTAATTAACAACTACAGTAAATGCTTATATTCAAACGAATTGGGAAATTGTACCACAGGATCATCTATAAGAATGAATGATAAAAAACCTACGAAAATACCGTTAGATTATACAAATTTTATTATTATATAGATTTTTATAATCATTATTTAATTTTGAAAGAAAAAGGAAATAAATAATAGCTACTAGACAAGAAACAACAATATTATCATAGCCGAAGAAACTTGATACCAACTATTATAATATGAATATCCTCAATAACTTTTTTAGTAAATGTATAAAGTTAAGTAATCCATTTAAATTTGAAAAACATCAATATACATATTTGAGAATATTTTTTCTCACAGTAGATTTGGGAATGTTCTAAAGACCAAACATAACTATTTATGATAACTTCACCCATTTCTATTATATCATAGTTTAATCAGATTTCATGAATATTTAATTTGACAAGAGGGATAAAAATACTATTTGCAATTTTATTTTAATCATGTTTATACAATAACACCAGAATCATCACATCATTTTGCCCAAGAACTCTACACAAACATGTTCAAGTGATCTGATAGAAAAGTAATATTACCATATCATTTTTACCAAATAATTTTTAATATCTTAAATTAGTTTTTATAAAATAAAATGTTAGTTAAATAAAAGAGAGAAGTTGGATAATAGAGTCATGTACAAGAACAATACAAAAAAAGAAATCACGAAATTGTAAAGATTTATTATAATATAGGTCACTGATTTTTCTCAACGGTCGAGGAACAACAACATACATATAAATGTTGATATTAAATTTATTTTTCCCGTGTAGTTAATATGAATCATGATGTGGCACTAGGATTCTTTGTAATGGGCAAATTTCCATCGTAAGTGCATTTGAAAACATCTGGTTTTCTCATAAGTCGGGGCCCAACTGGTACCTTGTTATTTTTAGGACGAATATCCTGCATATAGCATAAAACCCATTATTACAAGCTAATTAATCTCTTTTATTAAAATAACTGTGAAGAACAAGTAAGGATCTCTAGCCTCTTCATATCCTACATGGTGTATTCATCCTGTACCATGTCTTAAATTAATATGTGTAGATTTTGAGGGTCATGACTCGATGTCTTCTAAAATTGTTTCATGCACATTGAATTTCTCATTTGAATACTTAATGTATTGAAATATATATTTAATGTATAATGATGAGTGTAAGTAGAAAAATGGAAAATAGGAATATGGATGTGTGCTGGATTATTTCTATACAGGAAGGAGTACAAAAGTACAAAGTTTTGGAACAAGACACTAAGCAAAAGACATGAAGGTTGGAAGCTTACATTTATTTGAAACAATGGAAACTCTAAAGGAAGGAATACCAAAGTGAGCTGATCAATCTGTTGAGCACAGATAATTATAAAGATGGATCGTCCCTTGTTCTTGTCAAAAGCATTTCTTCATCTAGAACAACTTGTATTGTCTGAACTACTTGGTGCAAGTCACACAAAGTTGGCATTTTGAAAGGTTTTTTTCGTAGGAATAGCTCTCGTGCAAATTAAGAGTTTGATTTTACATGTGCTCTATTGATCCTAACCTTTGTTTTATTGGCATACCCTAGTTAGTTTGTATATTCCTTTGTTTTCTTTATTTGTATCTCAATTTTAGCCAAAACTAGGTTAACATAGAAATAAGATGGCATGTCCTTTGTGTTTGAACTTGGCCGACTTCTGATAAAAGTACTAATAGACACCCCGTTAATGTTTAAAAACATCTTGAAAAGTATGAACATTTGATAGTTCTTTTTGTTAAAAAGTTTAATTTTTTTTGTGAGTAATATTTTAAGTCACTATAGTCTTAGTAAATCATATTTAAATAAGCATTTATTGTAAATTTGTAGTAATTGTGAGTTTACATGTGTGAATAACAATGGTGGTGCTTAATTAAAAGTATTTTACCTGGTCAAATATAGCTGTTGGAATGGCCAGGGTTGCCACAGCATTGGGGGCATCGACTATTCCAGATATTCTTCCTTCACAAGGAATGCAAGACAGCAACAGGTACACCTGATGATGTGCAACATACCAGTGCATGTTTAATTTGAATAAATTAACATTTCAAACTTAAAATCAAACACATTTCATCTGGATTTTAAAAAACAAGTTGAATATATTATTTTCAGCCGTAAGTTAGTTTGAGACTAAATATAAGAAAAGTCAAACATGTAAAATTAAATTTACTGGACACACATGATGATAAAACAATCACAACCTTAGCATTTAATCATACAATGTGGAAATGGTACAAGAACGAGAAAAGAGCTAAACCTGTTCTTTGGAGTATCCAAACTTGGATATGTAGTCGATGGCATTGAGCACTGCTCGCTTGTATGCAACACTTGCATCTAGGTAGTGTTGTCTCCCACTTTCATCAACACTGATTCCCTCGAAAACTAGCCACTCTGAGAATCTTGGCTCAACAGGGCCTATCTCAAAAATTGGGTTTACATGAAGGGGAGTGGGTCCCATTGGTGTAAGGTACTCTTTCATTCCACCTCTTATAATTTCGCACCTGATTACACCAAAACTATTATCATCTCTTCATATGATAAATAATCTTTCATTTTTAACATGAGTTTTAGCTACATTTGCAGTGGCAGAGTTAGGTGACATTTGAGTAACTGAAGTTATACTAACTTGAGTTCTAAGAAACCACTCATCTCGATTGCACCACAGAAAGAGACCTCGCCATCGCCCTGTGAAAAGTGCATGTCACCGGTGCTGAGATTTGCTCCTTCCACAAAAACTGGGAGGTATACCTTTGCCCCTCTACTAAGGTTTTTTATGTCACAATTCCCACCATTTTCTCGTCCTGGTATTGTTCTTGCAGCTTCATTTGCAATCCTCTCCCATTCACTAGAGCCTTTTTCAACCTAGAACCATGTCAGGAAAAGGATTTAAAACAACACAATGGAAAATCTTGCTTGATTTCTTAGCATGTTAACAAAGCATCGCTCAAATTCTTAATACTTTTTGTGAACTTTTGGATCAATATTAGTTTGCTTTGACCTGATAGTCTCATATAGGGAACTACTATGATTCAAGTCTTTTTCCTTATTTTAGGGAGGGTGCTCTAAAATCATCTGGTTTCAGTCAATTTCTACATTAAACTAATCACATTTTTTCAGTTAAAAAAAAAGTTAATACCCGATTGATGGGTGAAACCGTTAAATGCCCGATAAATCTTATTTAATCTGCTGAACTAAACAAATTATCTCGTCTGTTATTTAAGAAAACCGACGCTTATTGATACGAATGATGATGATTTCACTAGTTTAGATTTCTGTGGTAGGTTAGAGTGTATTTTATCATTTGACTAGTTTTATACCACATATAATTCTGGGAAGATGAAATGGAGAAAATTTACTGTTTTATCTATCTTGCCCTAAAAAAAAACCTACGAGTGTGATTTATTTTAGAAGCAATGTTTTACTGATTTCTTGAGAGAGTTTCTTTTTGTTTTAAGGTGTTATATTATCATTTTAAACTACTAATAATTTTTTCACTTAAGACTTTAACTTTAGAATTAAAAAATATAATAAATATTATTTCTTAAATTGTTATAAATTTTTCTATTAAATAAATTACTTTTCTATCGTTTTCTAATTTCTCTCTTAATTTTGTATTAAATGTATATAGTATGATTAAAGTTTAAGTCTAAGAGTACAAATAATAAAATCCTAATTAATATAATATCTTGAACTTTCTCAAAAATCAGCACGAGACATAAATATGTAGAAATCTAAAATAATTCTGGATCTTTAATTCATATGTGGTAGTCAAATGACCTATGATCAGATTAAATTTATAGACGTTCTGGAGATGAATTGATTATTACCTTTCCAAGGAGACAGCCATTTGTTGATGGCAAGTTTGCCAAAGGTCGAGTATGCAAAACCTCACAGAGTTTGAAAGACTTAACACCATTTTCTTCTATATCTCTCTCCCTTTCATTCCATATGTTGAGGAGTTCCATTGATGGTGCAGTTCCAATTATCCCGGGGTGCGTTAAACCTGGAAATCGTACTCCTTTGCAGAATAAACAAACTACATGAGTAGCAGTTAGCGAAATAAATATGCACAAGTGTCTTCATATGAGATGTTCACCTGGTATCTGAGGTGAATGAGCATATATTCCCTGAAAGTACCAGATAGCTTTTGTGGCACAAGGAAAATGGTCTGTTAAGAAGCCACCTCCATTTTCTCTGTCAAATGTTGCAGTAAAACCCCATTCATCACCAGGTAGAGGACCCAAGTTGCATATTTCAACAGCAAGCAGATCTCCAGGCTTGGCTGGGATCCCATCATCATCCACAATTCTAATTGGCCCACTAAGATAATGTACCTTATCATCCATTCGCCCCACAACAGCCAAAGTTAATTAATTACACAAAGCCATGTAAATTTCCTTCCTTTACTCTTTTTCCATGTGATTAGGAATTACTAACTACACTTATAATGCATTAAATTTGTTATTTACACAGTTATAAAGTGTATATATACTTGAGAAAGAAACAGGTATAGTTTTCAACAGTTTGGTCTACATGTTTGGTTTGTCTATATATGTATAGTTTTGTTGGTTCCTTTGTCGATAATTAATATCCAAAATCAGGTTTAGTAATTAAGTTGTAACACCTGGAGTGGTGATGAGCTTTGTACTTACAGTTGAGAGGTCTATGGATTTTACGTCGAGTGGTGAATCATCATCTCTAATTGCGCCTCCTGTCCAATCTACCATCTCTACTCTAAAGACATGAGAAGTGTTAACAGTGGCTACGTGTGGTATGTGAGGGTGCCATCGGTTGTGGAGAGGAGGGTTTTGCTGCCATGGCTTCTTCTTCAAATCTATTGACGAAACCAGTCTTGTAGTTGGTGGTGCCATGGACAAATTGATGTGTTCTCACATACTGTTGGATTTGGTGAAGACTCTAGATAGATACTGTTCTCACATAGTTTAGCATTACGGTGACGAAAGGGGATCGGTTTTCAATTGGTGGAAGGACCACACTTTGCTGGTCCCAGAAAACAATGTTGTAGTCACCGATGAAAGCGTGTGGCATCTATTCATTTCGTGCATACCGTTTTTCTTAATTACATGATTCACTATAATATCTTAAGAGATCACATAAAGCTCCTTAATCAAGACCAAATATCATACCATTAAATTTAAACTGTGTAGGATAACTGAATGATTAATCTTTGATTCAGTACAATAACTGAATGATTAATGTTTGATTTCTATTACTAAAATAATAAAAAATAGGGTAACTTATTTATGATTAACCAAGTGAAAACATGTGTTCTTTTCTTTGATATAAACTAAAATAAAATTATAATTATAAAAATAAATATAAATAATTATTATAGTAAATAATAAATTTTATTTATTTTATATGTATTTTTTTTATTATAAATTGTTGTTTTAATTAGTTTTAAAAAATGGTTAAGTTGAAAAAAATAATAGGTTAAATTTTAGAAAATGACCGTTTAAAAAATAAATTTGGAAACATAATTATATTAATTTAAAGAAAATTTATTTATTAAGAGTAAAATCAGAAAACAAAATATGTTCATTAAAAAGATTAATTTTACTAAAGAAAAATTAAAAATGGTGAATCTCTTTTGTATAATGGTATAAATGCCCCTTTTTTTATTATAAACTTTATCCAATTTCATTAAAGCAACGTGTGGTTCGAGTAAACACGAATTAGAAAAAAATAGTCCAAAGAAAAAGTTAGACTTTTTTTTTGGAATATAATTGGAGAGAGGATAGAAGAGAAGAAAAAAAATGGCCGGCCAATATATATTCCTGTTTTTCTTTAGTAAAATCTTCCTCAAATAAATTTTCTGTTCTCCACATAGATAGAGCATTGCTATTTTCTTGAGTTATATATTCATAATCCAAGTGTGTCTTTGTTTAGATACATAATAAGTTTTTGTTAACAAGAGAGTGTTTTAGAGAGGAAGCTATTGTTTGAAGTAGGTAATTATATATGAGGATGAATTAAGAACTCACAGTTAGCGGATGAAGGTGCTTGACATCGTGAGCAGTGGGATTGTTGGTGATGGCACCTCCACTGAAGTCTACCATCTCAACTCTAAAAACTTCCCCAGGAGTGACCTCTGCAACTGAGGGTATATCTGGGTGCCATCGGTTATGAAGAGGGGTTTCCTGCTCCCACGCTTTCTTCTTTAAGTCTATGCCCACCACCAATCTTGGACCAGACACACTCATTTCTTGTGGGCAATATTATCTCACACACAACCACTCAACCAAGGAACTTCTTTTAATACTGTCCCACTCTCATGCTACCTTCACTTACACTTCCTTTAATATATAACCCTCAATGTAACTTCACTTGACCCCACCTAACCCTTATCTGCTCCCTTCCGCAGGACCACTTACCCCTCACTGCAAATTTCCGCTCCTTCTTTCTTCTCTTATGTTTCTTCATCACTCTGGAAGGGAATGATTTCAGCGCTTTACAACCAACCAATGAGCATCATCATCAACCCCATCACACCCTTTCTTTTTACCCAAATTTCATCAACCGTCCGTCTTGCATATCAGCCTTCACACTATGCCAGAGTTTACGTGAACTCATATATAGAGTTTCTATACGTGCGGCTGCCAATTATATCCGTTACTTCATATAGTGAGAATACCAAAATCTGAAGATAAATAGAACAAATTCATGGCATCACATATCACCATCATAGATTACTGCTCTATTACACTTTTAATTACTTGTTTTGACCATACTTTTACTTCGGGTAAGTCAGACAATTCCGAAAAAAAGATCGCTGTTACATAAATAAGATTTCAGAGTATCTTTCTAAATTAGTTGATAAACATATCTATAAGGTTGAGAATACGACAGTGAAAATTTTAAATTTAAAAATAAATATTTGTATGGATTACAAATTAATCGATGCAAAAATATATTGGTTCACTTGTGATAAAGTAATCAATATTTTCACCAGCTAAAGTAAGAGAATGACAAGAAAAAATAAAATTCATGGAGAATAAGAGAGAATTTAAACACCACAAAAAATTCCAAGCAATATTCGTGGATAAAAAGTGAAATTAATTCATAACGAGTATTTTTCTCATAAATATAAAAAATATAAAAACTCTTTTTTTAAAAATTCGACGTTCACTTCTAAACATGTGTTGAGTGCATTTTGAACTCATTTAAAAAAAATTCATTGGATAATGATAGTTTAAAACGTGAGTTCAATAAAAAAAATTGTAGGTTTAATCTCATCATAAGTTCTTTTTTTTTCCTAAATCTTAAATAGGTCCATTTTCTTTTTAGCGTATCAATTGTGTCCCTTTTATTGTTAATTTGATTCAATTAGAGGTCTCCCGTCAAATTCACCAAATGACCGTTTAATATTTGATAACGTGGCATGCTCAGTTGAATGAGTAATGACATGTGGCATTAAAATTGAGTTTTGTTTGAAAAAAAATTTTAAGGAGAAAGGTCATATCAAATTGAGGGAAGGGCAAGGGTGGGAAAATTAAAAATTTTAAGGGCTGTCACCTTTTTAATTGAGATATGCAACTGAAGCGCAAAAAAAAATTGGGGATTCTTATGATTAGGGTTCGTTTGAAGGGGGAAAATCGCATTCTTTGTTCGATTCGAAGAGATAGATAATGAATTGCAAAAGTCGCATTCTTGTTCATCTTCGACATGCAATAGGTGGTAGAATGAAAAGTGTAATGTCGTTTTTCGTGGTGGTGAAGTATCTACGATTGACGATGTATCACCCCTTTGCCTGTGTGGAGAGAAAACGGTGGTAAGAACAGCTCAAACTGTTAAGAATAGAGGGAATCAATTTTGGAGCTGCCCAGTACAAGGTAAAAGAATGTTGATGAGTAGTGTTTTGTTTGAGTAGAAAGTCGTTTAAATTGTTTTTTTTTACAGAATGGACATGAAGGTGGTTGTAATTTCTTCAAATGGTGTTGTGACGATAGTAGTGAGAAAAGCTATACGAATGTGAAGTGAGAAAAAAAGCATGAGTGTCTGTCAAAGATAGGAGAAATGTGAGGTGGAACGAAGATGATGAGTGATTTGCATAAATCTGTTAAGGTTGTGGAGAAATGGATGAAGGTATTGATAGGGCTGTTTTTTTTTTATACTTAATATTATTGTTATTTCAATATGGATGCTAAATCCATAATGTAGTAGTGTTGGTCGTTTTGTTAGGATGAAATTAACAGGGTTTTCCTTTTGTTAGGATGGTACTGATTATGTATTTGACTATGTGAAGGAATGAAGTTGTGTATTGTTTGAGCGACAATTTTGTGTACTGTCTTCAACTTGAACTTGGCACAGTTTCCTTGGTCTGTGGCTTGATAATTTTGCGATACAATTGAAAGTAAAACAATGTTAGAGTGGCTTATAAATTTGCGGTACAATTGTAAACTATTAAAAGAGTTCAAATAATTAATGTATTGAAAAGAGTCCATGTTAAAACCCTGTTTTATAGTTATATTTGGATTAATAAATTGACAATGGATGAGTGCAACACACTTTGACCATCCAGTTTTGGAATCAACTATTACACTAAATGATCCACTGAATGTGGTGCTTTGGAATCAATTATTACACTTTGACCATCCAGTTTTTGGAATCAATTGGTGCTTTGGAATCATGATCCACTGAATGTGGTGTCTAATGTGAATGGAAAAACAATTTTAAAACCTTGGCCAACACACTCTCGTAGGCATTGAGACCAACACACTATCAAACTGATATGAAACTGATAACAATGAAACTGATATGAAACTAATAACAATCAAACTGATAACAATAAGCACATTAGTCTTTTTTCAATGACAATAGTTTATCTTCAATGTACTAAAAAAAGTACAAACATCCAAAAACATACAGACTTGGCATCACTATCATTCATTAAGTACATAACAAAAAAACCATCAACATTGTTCCTTAGAAGTCAACTATTACATAATAAGATGCATAAACTTGGCATCATTCTCATTCATACACACTTCTATGTTTGAGCTTCAGGTTGTTGACAAACTTCAGATAATTGTGATGATTGGTTCTTGAGTTGCTTTAAGGAAACGACTCCTGTTGTGCCTAACCTCCTTACATAGCTCACATCTCTTGCGCAAACCACCCTTGCTCACTCAAGAATCATCTTTCCTCATCTCCCATTGTTCCACCCTTCTTTTCCTTTTAGGTCTTCCAAGCATAACTTTTTTTCTAGGAGGCATGACATCCGGATATGGTCCATGGGCCCACATGTTGTTTTCGTTGATGAGGTATATGATAAATGAATATGTTTCTTCATGTGTGGACTTTAGAAAGCAAGCCGGAATGAACTCTTGTCCATCAATATTGAGAAACTTCATTGCGGCTAGGGAGTGGCAACATGGAATTCTTGTGATCTGCCATATCCTGCAGGAGCATGAAAACTCGTCTATGTTTACAACAAATTTTTCTCCACTCTGGGAGACGTGTCTGACTTCAAAGAGTTTATTTGCTGACCAGTTGTGAAAATATTATAAAAAAAATTAGAAAAGCTTACCTAGGAATGAAGAAAGTACCAAACACATGTAAGAAGTGGAGAAGAAAGTTACCTAGGGATCCAGTTCTTGGTTGCTTGGGATTCCTTTGTAAATCTGTTTTGGATCTTTGGACAAATTGATCCTGATAAAGATTGTATCTTACACCTTTTTTTTGCCCATCTTTGCATGATGTAGACCCTAATTTCTTCCAGCATTGTTAGGATTGGTTTAGTCCTGGTGTGAACCAGGACACTGTTGAAAGCCTCACTCCTATTGTTGACTAATGTGTCACATTTTGGTGTTGGACTGAATCTGGACCTGGACCAGTATCTACACCATATGATATAAACAAATGTTTAGAGTAATAAGTACTTCTATATCTGGTAAACAAATAACTACTATTTAAACCTGCAACTACATCTATAAGCACATTCTAAACAGAATAAACCTCTAGTCAACACCAGGGAGTAGCTGTTGTATGGCTGGTAGTAGACCTTGTGGTGTTAAAATAAAAAAGAACATTTACGACCATATCAAATTAATAATTGAATGTACGAAACAAGCAAATTAAATATGGTTGTCAATACCAAATTTCGTCCGGATTGGTTTTTGGCTTTATCGTATTCTATTGTCTTATGTTTTATTTTTACCCATTTTCATTTACACTGTTATTTTCATTTCTTTTCTTTTATTTTATTCTTATTTTCTTTTAGTATTCTATTTTTATTTTATTTTCGTAATTTTCATTTTTAAACTTTGTTTTTACTTCTTATTTTTATTTTTAGTTTTGTTCTAATATAATTAATGTGGTTAAATGCAATTAACAAAAAAATAAAAATAAATAAATAAAGGAAAAAAGGTTTGGAACATTCTATTTTGTCTTTTAGTAAAAAAAAAATAAAATTTGTCGAGTGAAAGACAACGCGTGTGTTGGAGAGTGGGGGGGCAGAAAACTGTTTCTGCAGGTGAACGCGGGGTGATGGCAGAGGCGGGTTGCAGTACTGGTACAATCCGTTTTGCAGGATACGAAATTGGGTACGAGCGATTTGGGGGCAGAGAGAATTGCACAAAAGCACAGAGAGAGCAGAGGAAAGGGGGATTCTGGTTTTGGAGAGTAAAAAGGAGAATTTGGCACTGTTTCTTCGGACCTTCATCTGGGATCATCATCCAGTCTCCATGAGAGCTTCCGTTTTCACTTGCAGAGAAAGACAGACGCCAGCCAAAGGAGAGGGAGAGACCCATTGGAGACGCAAGGTTGACAAAGACAAGCAGAGAGCTCCAAGAGGTAAGGGCACCTTACTCACTCGTGTGGACATAGCCACGTAAGCTTGTTGCATTATATTTCATTTTATGCTTGAAGTCGCTTTGCTTGAGTATGTATTGTGGTAGGAGTCTTCTCCATTCTACATTCTTACCGAAAACCTTCATCACCTTTTCCTAAGCACCCCTGCACATTGGAGCTCTGAAAATCCCTTTGGTGTCAATCCGTTTCATAACCACCGAACATCACGAACCGCTATCTCCATTCCCATCATCTTCATCCCTTTCCTCTTCATT